GGGGGGGTGGGGGGGTGGGCAGTTCTACTCTGTCCTAAAGCTTGGCTATGAGCTAGGATTGACTCAATGGCAGTGAGTTTATTATTATTAGCTGGAGATGTATGTGTGACTGGCCTCGAGATAAAGTCAAAATTAGAATAAATGATACCTTTAGAAGGAGCCCTGACATAGAGTTGTTGGGTTGAGTGTTGCATTGCTAACCCACAAGGTCGGTGGTTCAAACCCCAAAGACACTCATGGGAGAAGATGAGGCTATTTGTTTCCATAAACATTTACAGTCTTGGAGACCCTCTGGAGGGTCACTAAGAGTTGGAATTAACTTGATGGCAGTGGGTTTGGTTAACATTAATGTACAGGAACCCAGATGGTACAGTGGATTAAGCATTAAGCTATAAATAGCAAGGCTGGTGGTTCAAATCCTCTCACTGTTCCCCAGGAGAAAGATGAGGATGTCTGCCCCTGTAAAGAATGACAATCTTGGAAACATTAAGGAGCAGTTCCCCTCTGACCTACAGGGTTGCTATGAGTCCGATTCGACCAGACAGCAGTGGGTGGGGCTAGGTGCTAGGGGAAATCCTGGTGGTTCAATTTTTTAGTTGGCAACTGGTTAAAGAGCTCAGTGGCTAACTTTTTAAAAAACTGAACCACCAGCTGCTCTAAGGGAGAAGGATGTCGTGGTCTGCTTCCACCAAGATCTACAGCCTCAAACCACTGTGGGGCAGTTCTACCCTGGCCTGAGGGCTGCTCTAAACTAGGATTGGCCTGATGGCAGTGGGTTTAACATACAGGCATTTTACTTTCACACTCCGAAACTTTAAAATACCTTTAAAAATGAATACTTTTCCTAACCTGTTACCTTTGCTTTAGACTGACATGATAATGTAAATTATAACCTAATGGATGTTAATGGAACTATCCACTAAAATACCAGCTATGAAATTTTGAGTGGTGCTGCTGTGAAGAAGGGTAAATTCCAAGTTTAGATCCTAAAGAAATTTAAATGCATCTCGTCAACTAGTGCCCCAATGCTCTCCTCATTGGATGGTCAAACATTTAGATCTGTTGTTGGGTGCTGCGAAGTCGGTTGTGACCTATAAAAACAAACCAAAAAACCTCAGCTGTCAAGTTGATTCCAACACACATCGACCCTATATTGGGTTTCCGACAGTCTCCTCTTTTTCTTAAGGAACAGCTGGTGAGTTTGAACTGTCAACCTTCTGCTTAGCAGCCCCAAAGCACCTAGGGTTTCTTTATGGCAATTTATATGTCCCAATGACTCTACTTCCCCTTTGGATCGATGATTTAAAGTCCGACAGGAAAAAAGTAGGGAAACCCATTAGTCTTCCAGAGATTAACTGAGAGCTGGGAAATGCAAAGGCAGGAAAGATGGAAATGTCCTGACCCTTAATTCCTGAGGTTAGGGCGAGGGAGGAGGGAGGAGCGAGCCAAAGACTGGAACGCCTTCAAATTGTCTGATAACTCCAGAATTTTTTCCAGCTTGTACTCAAAATCATAGTCAGGTTTTAATAGAGCCATCTGAGCACACTTCCTGAAGCAGGCAGAGGAAAAGGAGGAAAGAAACTGTGTACAAGTCAAGGGTGGAGGGCAAGGAAAGGGCACACTTCAGAGAATGGTCTTCACAGGCAAAGCCCTCCAGCCCTCCTGGTGAAGCGTGTCTGAGAAGGGATCCACAGCACTGAACGTGGTGCTCGGTCCCCTTTTCTGGCCGCTGTTTTCCTTGTGGACCCAGCATGATCCTGTGAAGCCCCTGTGAGTACAGGCCATCTTAGGGAAGAGCATTTTTATTCTGCCTTCTAACTAGAGCATCATTTGGACAGCCCCGGCTTGATCCAACTCCCTGAGACACGGGCACAGGAGGCTTCGGGTTGTTTGAGAGGAAAGTGCAGTTTTAGAGAAAGCAGGGAGTTCTCATTTACCTCTCCAGGAGTGTGTTCACCATTTTTTCAAAAGTCTCATCACATCTTAGAAGCGGACTGGTCACTCCCCACTGCAGAGACCTGCTGTACTCGTTCAAGCCAAAGTACAGCTTCTCCTCACAGCCCAGGTCCTCCTGGTTCAAAAGACAGAACAAGGCCCAGTGAAGACAGCATGGAACGTGCCTGGCTTTCTAGGGGAAAAGTATTCTGTAAGATGTTTTTTCTTGGAAGGTTAAAAAAAAAAGAAGAAGAAGAAAGGTTATATAACCCGATGCCAATTCTACAATTTTTCAGTGGCATCCAGTTTCATTTTGGGAGCACCTGGGTGGTGACATGGTGGGTACTCTCTGTGGCTAACCAGACGGCTGATGGTTTGAGTCCACCCAGAGGCATCACAGAAAGAAGTCTGGCAGTCTACTGGACAGCTCCGAGAGCACCCACATTGGTTGTCATGAGTTGGACTGAGCGACCCGGCCCTTGGTTCGTTAGTGAAAGGTTGACAGGCTGTAAGGCAGATGGGACTACACAGATGGTGGGTTTGCTTTTCTCTTGACTGTATACATTCTTGACACGACGGACTGACACAGTGGCTGCCACAGTCGACCCCAACATAGGAACACTTGTGTGGTTGGCCCAGGACTGCGCAGTGTTTCCCTCTGTTGTCCCCTGGGTCAGTCTGAGTCAGAACCGCTCGAGGGCACCTGGCCACATGCTTTCTGAGGAGTAGCATTTTTTTTAGGGTTGGTATGAAGACAAGGTTAGGTAATCTCAACCTCCATTCTTTGCCTACTCTAAAATTCATTCTATACTGATAATAATGAGGGGGCTTCATAAAGCTTGTGGACAATTTTAATGAAAATATAATGGAATTTTCCCATAAAATAATTTTTTTGCACCCCTCTCATATGATATGCAAAAAACTCTGGAGACTGGCAAACTGAGAACACCTTCCCTGTTATGGAGAAAGTTAAACTTTCCTGGCATGATTTAATGGTGCTATCTTTAAGGAAGAAATTTATTTTATTTTATTTTAAAAATCATTTTATTGGGGGCTCATACAACTCTTATCACAATCCATACATACATCAATTGTGTCAAGCACATTTGTACATTCATTGCCCTCATCATTCTTAAAGCATCCGCTCTCCACCTAAGCCGCTGGCATCAGCTCCTCATTTTCCCCCTTCCTCACTCCCCCCTCCCTCATGAACCCTTGATAGTTTATAAATTGTTATTTTGTCATATCTTGCCCTGTCCGACATCTCCCTTCACCCACTTTTCTGTTGTCCGTCCCCCAGGGAGGAGGTCACATGTAGATCCTTGTAATCAGTTCCCCCTTTCTACCCCACCCTCCCTCCACCCTCCCAGTATCGCCACTCACACCACTGGCCCTGAAGGGATCATCTGCCCTGGATTCCCTGTGTTTCCAGTTCCCATCTGTACCAGTGTCCATCCTCTGGTCTAGCCAGACTTGTAAGGTAAAATTGGGATCATGATTGTGGGGGAGGAGGAAGCATTTAGGAATTAGAGGAAAGTTGTATGCTTCATTGTTGCTACATCCCACCCTGACTGGCTCATCTCCTCCCCGAGACCCCTCTGTAAGGGGATATCCAGTGGCCTACAAATGGGCTTTGGGTCTCCACTCCACGCTCCCCGCCATCATTCACTATGGTAAGATTTTCTGTTCTGATGATGCCTTATACCTGATCCCTTCGACACTTCGTGATCGCACAGGTTGGTGTGCTTCTTCCATGTTGGCTTTGTTGCTTCTGAGCTAGATGGCCGCTTGTCTACCAGAAATTTATTTTAAAACAGAGCACCTCTACTTTGTCTTCTTAAGCAGAATACACACAGCCTTTCCGCTGTCTCCCTTCTTGATGACTCAGTCAGCGCCATGAAGATGAACAACTGCTCTGGGGTAGGACACAAGGTGCCCGCAGTGGGATCTAAGACGGTGACAGGCTGCTTGTCCCTAAACTACATGGTCTCAGGATATGACATAAGTTCAGAGCTGATGTATTTTTTTAAAAAAATAAAATTGTTTTCCTGCCTGTCTTCTATAATAATTTTCACATTCATTTATCCTTGTCTACACCGCCTATGTCAGTCTCACTGATATTTGTTATGTATAGACATCTCATTAATTGTCCTCCAACTCATTTTACAAAGGTGGTGATTAAGACAGCTTCAAAATATTTATTGTTGTTAGCTGCCAACAAGCTAGCCCCCAACTTATGGTGGCCCCAGGCAGGAAGTTTACCACTTTAACTACCAGTGACTCTTTCAGATCTGTGTATATATACCTATTAAGATAAAAATAAGTAATCAGAGAAAGAAAATACAAGCAAGTACAGGAGAAATAAGATAAGCCCAGGGATAAGCTCACTGCTTCCCAAAATGCATGTACTAGTTCATTTAACTTGCAGCTTTTAGGTTTTTGAGTCCTGAAAAAACAGTTGAACTTTTTGTTGTTATAATAGGATCTTTTTTGAAATAAACAGACTTTAAGCATAGATTACGGTATGTTTTTATAAATACTGGGGGCTTAGTGCACAGATAAGAGGAATCCATCTCAGAGACTTAGAAACTGTCTTGTTTCTTTCCTGCTGGATTCCTGGCTGTGTTCAGGAAGTCATTTCAGAATGGAAAAAGTAATTTAAGTTTACCTCATCTGGTCTGTGGCTGAACAACAGAAACTGGGGAAAGGGAGGCAGTGTTCAGTGTAAGATATGAAAATAATAAAAATTTATAATTTATCAAGGGGTCACGAGGGTGGGGGGAGGGAGAAGGGAGGGAAAAAGACGAGCTGATATGTGCCCAAATAGAAATGTAAATATTTAGAAAATCATCATGGCAACATATGTACAAATGTCTAATACAATGGATGTATGGTTTGTTATAAAAGCTGTAAGAGAGCCCAATAAAATTATCTTTAAGAAAAGAGCAACCAATAAAGAAGACTAGAGACCACTGGGGGGAAAACAGTGGGCAGAGGACGTGCACAGGCACTTACTGAAGAAGACACTCAGGCAGTCGGCACGCATCTGAAGACATGCTCGTGATCAGAAGCCATCAAGACAATGAGAGAATCATCTCACCCCACACTAACAGCAAAATTACGAAAAACAGAAAACAACAAATGCTGGTGAGGGTGAGGGTGGGGAGAAACAGAAATACCTATGACTCAGCAATCGCTCAGCCTTCCTAATGCCTCAGCCCATGAATACCGCTCATGTGGTGGTGACCCCCCAGCCACAAAATTATTTTCATTGCTACTTCATAACTATAATGTTGTCACTGTTATGAATCAGGAGACCCCTGTGAAAGGGTTGTTCGACTCCCAAAGGGGTCACGACCGACAGGTTGAGAACTGCTGCTCTACTTGGTACCCAGCCTAGAGAGAGAAGAAAACCACGACACAAACAAATATATGCACAGCCATGTTCACTGCCCCACCACTCTCAATAGCAAAAGATGGGAACAACCTAATTCAAAGAATAAGATGAATCTTGAGACTTGACCGGCAAACCCTCCTAAAGGTCAACAAACAGACCTTGAACTATTTACAGGCTTTTCTGGGGTTTTTTGTCATTGGTTTTGTTGTCTCTTATTGCTTTGTTTTTCTCTGTCTGTTTTTTGTGCATATTATTATCTCTGCAGGTCTATCTACATGAGATAGGCAGGAGAAACAATCTGGAGGAGAAAACAGACTGCAGGTTCTGGGAGGATGTGGGAGAGGGGGAGGTGGAGAAAAGGAAGTGGTGTTAACAAACCCAGGGACAAGGGAACAACAAGTGATCCAAAATCGTTGGCGAGGAGGGTGTAAGAGGCCTGTAAGGCGTGATCAAGGGCAATGCAACCAAGAGGAATTACTGAAACTCAAATTAAGGCTAAGCATGATAATGGGACAAGAGGAAAGTAAAATGAA